GTCATACGAGGTCGTTTTTAGACAAGTCGAAATCTCGTAAGCAAGAATCTCCTTACTACATATTTTTCTGTGTAAACAATCGAGGAGGCGATTAAGTTGCTTGCGAAACTCGTATGACATAATCGTAGGCGAGATTTTAGCTCTTGCCTGAATAAACATCAAAAATCACAACAAAATCTTATGACGATTACTTATTGCTTACGATAATCGCGTACGATTTTTCGTCACGAAGCGTGCGATAAACTCTCTCCATCTAAATGGGCCTTAAAGCTATAACCACAGTAATAAATTTTGATGGAACGGCGATGTTGCACTTTTTTAAAGGATCAAGCGTGATCTTTTTGATAAATTCCGCTATTACGTGCATTTGAGAGTGCATAATTAGTGAAGTATCACAAATATTTTATTGTAATCTATAGTTCCTATATCTATAGTATAGTAATCACACACTTGACCAAATAATTGACAATGCCATTATATTTTTATTCAATTAAAAGATAATTCTATTACTTGATTTTTAGCTGTTTCTGTAAACTTATTGTTACCTCTTTAAGTAGGTCAACTAAAGCCTCTCTACGAATGTCATATTAAATGTATGGGAGCGTTTAATGTTATAATTTTGGATATTTCTAATTTCATTTTTTTCAAAGTTATTGAAGTCGATTTACTCATTAGGTAACGTATTTTCGATATCAGTTTAAAGCTTTTTGATATCTCTTATATTTATGGTATAATCGCCTGGGCACACTTACGATTACACCCTATATAGTATGACCTCGAAAAACAAAGCCATTTCCGTGCAGTTTACGTTGAGCTTTCAAATGTCGTTCACCTCTTTTCTCATAGTAAAATCATATCGTGAAGTGCCATTTGACGTGTGACTTAACATCCCAGTTGTCAAAACAAGCAATTCAAATTCAAAACTCAGTGAAAACCTTTGCACTAGATTGCAGTTACAGTTTTTTTAATGGTTTTAAGTGACGGGGCGAACAAGTCTTGCGCCTGATGGGAAGCGACACGCTTGTCATAACAATTGCAGTGCCACTCAGAACTTTAAATCACAAAGATCTGAGGGGCACTGCCACTGCGCTTGTCACCCTGAGACATAAATTGACAAGTCCCATGTTCCTGTAATGTCATCAGCACCAAACAAATAGGTAAGGTGGCAGTACTTCAAATGACGAACTCTTTCACAGGGAGCTCTACTGCTACTACAGTAGCGTTCAAGTTATACTGTTTCAGTTACTTAACTCTTTGCTGTCACTTTCAATTTTATATTGAATTTATGGAGATTGAAGGCATTGTGGCTTGAACAAGCATATCAACTGTGAACCGGTACTAATCTCAATTTTGACAACTTTACACAATGAAGAAAAAAATTGTTGGCGTCATTTATACAGAATCTAGTTCATTAAACAAAAACACGTAGTGTATCTGTAATGAACATATATAAAAACATTGAGCAGAGAAAAAATAGAGAGTCTAGATTCTGCCACGAGGAGGATAAAAATCCTGTGCATCTCATCCCATCATGAATGAAGCCTAATAATAAATAAAAATTTAATAATATAAAATAAGTCGAATTCTGTTATCAAATTGCAAACTCACCACAATCGTGCCAATGATAACGATAAAACATGTCAAGCGATTTTGTTTTACCACAAGTTCTAAAGTATGATTGAAATAACGTATTTTTAAGTATGATAAAATAACGTATTTTTTTATATCCAAAATATAAAGTTAGGAAGCATAATATTTTTGAACGGTCCCAGGTAGCATAGCTATCTTTTTACTACCCTTACATATTTCTGCCCCCAAGCAGTAGTGTTAGCATTACTGCGTTCCGATGTGGAAGGGTAAGTGTGCTGGTGAAATTACAGGCACATTAGACTTGTCGATTTATGTCTCAAAGTGACGGGCACAGCGACAGTGCCCCTAAGTTTTTTGTGATTTAAAGCTCTGAGTGCAACTGTATGAACAGACGTGTCGCGTACCGCCAGGCGTACGACTTGTTCGTCCTGTCACTTGGTACCATAATAATCTCAGTACAGAGCGCTAAAAAAACCGACCACAAAATATTCGTGGAATTACTTCTATTTGCCAAGTTTTACTGCGATTGGTTACCCGAAAGTGCTAGAAACAGGGTTCATCCCCTAGTTAGCCACCCTTAGAGGTGGAAAATTTTCTTCATATTTAAATGGAACCAATACTGAGGTTCACGGTTCACAAATACCGGACTTATCGCGAAACATACGTACAAAAAAACAATCGAATTAAAAACCTCCTCCTTTGTTTGAATTCGATTAAAATAAATTCATACCGCAAGTTAGTCCAACCAGAAGTCGAACCCGGAACCTCCTCATCCAGCGCCCACAGTGCAAACCGTTGGGCCACCAAAGTCATCAATTTAAAAAAATATAAATTACTAATCGATTGAATATTCGTAATATATACATATACTGTAAAATTTACACTTTAAAATCAAAGAACTTTTGTAATTGAAAGTAGTTGGCTGACTTCGTACATAGACAGAGAAGAATTATACATTAACCTCCCGGCGAACGAGCACTGGCAACCACAACACTGAGTGGCGGTTACCAACGCTAATTACTTTAAAAGCACAGGTAGTACTTAAAAATTTTATAAGTACACATACAAAGTGAGTTCCGTAGATGTATGAAAAAATAAAAACTACGTAATATTATGTGGTGAAAAATGTTTTTCACTATAAATATTTCACAAAAAATACAAAATATTATATTTATAGTATAATAATAATAATAATAACGCACACACTCAACATAGCCCCGCACTAGGGAAACCCTGTGTCGCGGGTGCCATGGACACACATAGACAACCACAAATTACACCCAAACTCACGAGAGAAATAAATGTAGGCCATACAAGTATTTCTCCCGGCCCGGGAATCGAACCTGGGACCTCTGCGTGGCAGTCCGGCATGGTAACCGTTCGGCCACAGAGGCAGTTAAGTATACACAAGGAAAATGCTCAATAAATCCATACACCAAAGCGAGTTCCATTAATATCGTTTCTCTCAACCACAAAATTTATTCGATTTGGCTAAGTTGACTACCTACTATTTTCTCTTTGGTAGAGCTACAGTACGCTATGTATTTACTCCGTGGTAGAGCTAATAAATAGTTATTTGTTATGCAAGCCTGGAAAATTATTGTTTGGCGCGAGTACTTGTATTAATTCCTGAGCAAGCGAAGGAGGCTAAGATTGAAAAATAGAATCCTGAGCGTAGCGAGGGTTTGAAGCCACGAGACGCAAAACAACTTTGCTGCCGAGAGAAGCACAACTTTTGACCTCACTATAGCGAGGAAAATGGTAGATGAAAGAAAAACCGTTGAACTATATCAAATCAATTTTAATAAACAAAATTAGTTAGCGTTGTCAATTTTAATGTCAACAATAATAAGAATAAAATGTACCAACGGATTTGTATTACATAAATAATGTACAACAAATGGCGTAGTTGATCGTGTCATTATGTTTTTTCTTTCATCGAAAGAAAAAATTAGAAGCTCCACATCGCAAGAAAAAGTTAGGTTCATCGTCAAGTTCGAATTTGAAAAAACTTTTCCACGCTAGCGTGAAAGAAAAAGGTGGAAAACGATTTTGAGCGCATATTTCTAATGAGAAAGATAGTCTTTCCGACCTAGTGCGGTAAAAAATACTGTTTATTTCATAAACCACTCATAGTATTATTAGCTACTAAGTAACGATTTTTTTTAAATTATATTAGCCAGTAGTTAATACCGCGTATCGGAAGGCACAGCGTGGGCAGACGGATTGTCGGTACAACGACCAATGACCTGGTGAAGGTTGCGGGAAAGACCGGTCGTTGTGACGATCTTTGGGGGAGGCCTATATCTCGCAAACTATACGGATACTCCATGGAATAGTTCCAACAAACACTTTTGAATGGGGCCCTCACACGCCTGTCCACAGCAAAATTTCAATTATTTAGAATGATTGAATACAAAAATAAGTTAGTCTAATTAATTGTACCTTTTTACGCGACTGACCTGCAAGAAGCTAACCTATGTCTGCTGCCAAGTAGTAATGTGAGCATTACGGCGTTCTGGTTTTGAAGGGTAAGCGTGCTGGTGAAATTACAGGAACGTGGGACTTGTTAACTCATGTCTCAGGGTGACGGGAGCAGTGATAATGTCCCTCAGATCTTTGCGATATAAAGCTCTCACTGGCACTGCAACTTTATGGACAGTCGTGTCGCTAACCACCAGGCGCACGAATTGTTCGTCCCGTCACTTAGTATCGTAAAAAAACTGTAACTGCAATTTAGTAAAAAGTTTTTCCACAAAGTTCCTTTTTTTGAAGTGCTTGTTTTGATAACTGGGATGTTAAGTCGCCCGTCAAATAGCACGTCATGATACGATTTTACTATGAGAAAAAATGTGAACGAATTTTCGCAGTTAGATCTTTTCAATTTATACTCTGCCTGCAACTTCTGGGCTTAGGCGTGTCGCTTACCACCAGGCGCACGACTTGTTTGTCCAATGAGCGTAATATTTTTTATTCGAATCATTTATGAAGTATAAATAATTACTTTTTAATTCTTTTTCTAATTTTATGTAAATTTTGCCAGACACAGTAAAATATAAAACTGAAAAAAACAACCAATAATACACTTTACAAACTTTTAATAAGTTACATTTAGGCATATTCAATGGCTTTTAACACACTTAAATTGAAAAGCAATAATTTAGTTATTTAAGGCTTAAATTAATCTTAAAACTACAAAACAGAAACCAATGTACGTTTGTAATCTTTGCGACATTTTGAACATAAAAATCTTAAAAGTAATTACAATACAAATCTCAAGTTTCTGTCACTTGTTGTCCTACTATTGAATCACAAAAAATAAATAGTTATTATCTCAAAAGATGACATCAAGTCTTTTTCATACATAGTCCTGATACTTTTTACGTCCTATATTAATCGTGCAAGTACCATCAATGTCCTTTTTTGAAACCATACTTTTTGTGGTGTGTTTTTCCTCCCTTGTGGCCGTGGTCCTCATGATGGTGATGGTGTTCGTCGTGTCCGTCAGCATGTTTATGTCCCTTGTGGACGTGATGATGGCCACCTTTCGCGTGGTGTCCCTTCTCTCCATGTTCGTGTTCGTGATGCCCACCTTTGTGGTGACCCTTCTTGAAGTGCCCGCCCTTCTTGTGGCCATGCTCCTCGTGGAACCCTCCGTGTTTCTCCTCGTGCCCTGATTCCCCTTCTTCATCGAAGAACTTCTTGTCTTTCTTAAATTCATCCAACTTGTGTATTTCGTGATGCCCTTTCGTCGAATGTCCTTTGTTATAATGCCCTTTTTCCTCATATTTATGGCCTTTTTCGCCTTTTTCTCCGTGGTGATGCTCACCATAATGACCATCTTCGTGATGGTGTTGCTTCTTGTGACCTTCATGGTCATCATATTCACCTTTGTGGTTTTCTTCGTCCCGGTGGCCCTTTTTGCCTTCTTCGTGATGGTGATGACCCTTATAGCCCTTATGGCCCTTTTCGCTGTGCTCGTTGTCATGATGTGCATGATGCTCTTTTCCTCCTGCTTTCTCGTATTCATGGTTCTGAGGGTGATCTTTTTTATGTGCGCTGGCAGCCAACTCTTGATCGCCAGCTAGTGTACTCGCGTCAGTACCTTTCACGCGTGGTAATCGCAATGTTTTTTTACCTGGTACATTCCGCGAATGGACAGCAACCAGCAATATTAAGCATCCTAACGCGAGGGCCACTCTCATGTTGAGACTTGTTGGACCAAATGGCGCAGACACCTTGGGCGCTTCACTAATATTGACGACATCAGTGATGGCGCAGCAGTTTTATATAAAGGGTTGTGCAAGCCCTGCTAACCGAGACGCGACGAGTAACATTGCAGTAAGCGATCGTTGGTATAAATTTTGGGAGCATTATTTTAGATGTATTTAATTACAATTAGCTTCTAAAACACAGTAATATTCTACATTCATGATTTTTAATAACAATAATTGTATTTCAGGTGCATAACGTGCGTTTAAATATATTTGTTGTTTAATTTATTTACTAAAAAATCTTCACAACTTTATCAAATTTACAAATTAATTTAGGCGAAGAGATCTAGAACGCCATAGTTACCATTTCATACAAATAGCATTTACCATTCCCTTGACAGATGAAATATCTGTACATAATTACTGCATTTACATGATTGACACTATAAAACATTTATATCCAAACGTACGAATGGATCGAGAACTTTCCAACCAATCACTAAAATTACACTGACCAATTTATAAAACAAATAGATTATATAGTATTATAAACCTAGTTTAACACTGGCGGTAACAATTGCTGCTATAAATAATATTTAATGAAACTAAATAATAACTTAACAACTTAGTGCCTATAACGGAAATGTAACTACAATTTTACGCAAGTTTATCTTTCTAGAAATCGACAAAAAATACATCCAACGTGACCTTCTACGTTACCACTGATCTAACACTATAAAAATGCCTTAGTATTCTGTCAAATTCGATATTCATCCATCACGCACGAAACACTTTTGACATTATAATACTTACACTTTAAATACATTTATTATTATAACAATAATTTAAATAAATTATTTATAAACAGCGAATATGTGAGTAGGTATGTCGTAAAAAAATGAGATACGTGTGACCAAGTGAAAATAGTCATCAATTTAACAAAGGAAATGAAGACTAATGCATCATTATCGTGCAAATTACATTCCTGAACAGTAACCTGGAGTCACATGTTATTAAAACACCTTATATTATAATTGACCACTTCATTGCCGTAAGCACGTACATGACACATGGTTTCCTACAGATAAGAACAATGCGTTCATTATTCATAATGGACTCTCACTGATGGACAATTTCACATGATTTCGGTGGTATTTTGACTACACGAAACACGCGTGTTGTAGGAACTCATTCACAACTACTTCTACGTGAAAAGAGACGAAGGCGAATGCCATACAAGATGCGCTTGGTTGCGAAACGTTAAATAGCAGTACTTTTAATCAGCTACACTTTTAATTCTTTATTCAAAGTACACTTATTTGTACAATAATACAATGATGATAGGTAGAAATATCATTAAATTATAAAATTCTTTCAACTAGAGTTGCAGCGAATATTCGGTTGCTGTTCGGTATTCAGCAGTATAGTACGTAAAACAGAAGGAAATACGAAGAAAAAAAAGTACGAAAAAACGCAATAAATTATAATGTAGCTTTTGTTAATTTTGTACATTGTATGTTCACTAAAGCGCAATTTTTCTCATCTTTAATGTAACATAACCAAGTTATTTTTCTAAAATCTATTTGTCAAAAACAGGACAATATATCGAATGACAACGTTCTACTTAATGTCTAGTTTATAACTAAATAAACACCAACAAAAAGAACCAAGTATTTATAATTTAGAAACGAAAATGAAGTGTTTGGAAGTTAATCAAACTGAAGTGAAATAAACAATAACTTTTGATATTAAGTCATAAATTTGAATTACATGCAAATGAAAGTACGTACTCATAGTTTATTAACCATTGCACAAAATTATTTACCATAACGTTAATAAGTAGTACTTTTTAGCCAATTTTCATACGCATGTTACACGTGTCACAGATGTCGTCCATTTAAATATAAATTACGAAAGGGATCTCTGCAATTTAAAGCTCTGACTGCAGTTTCTATGCATAGGCATGTCGCTAAAAAATATATCCTACGTATTTACTGTGCTAATAATTATAAACAATGTGTTATTAGTGTGCGTAGTATTATAATTATTTCAGATTTATTATCTTTATTGGCCAGCGGAAAAGCTCTTGTTGGCGGTTCTTGAGCACAGTGTAAAAGAATCGGGCCTCCCCGACCGTGAAAATTACATTGGATCTGTCACGCGACGACACGTTAACTATGGTTGGGTCAGCGGCCGCAGTTTTGTAAACAACCCATAATGATTTGTAAACAAACGTAATATAACTTTAAAATATTACGGTTTCTATTTCTTGATACCAGCGTAATACAATAGCGTTTGTAGAAACGCCTCGGAGCCTTATTTTCTAGAAAATCCCAGAGGGATCATCAATCGGGATATACAATCCGGTCAGAGCGTTTCCTTGGAGATCACTGACAATTTACTGGATATTCATGAGTTATATGGCTATTAACGAATACACATCAATCTTGCGGTCATGCCTCCTGTACTCTATCATCGAGTAGTGGATAAGAGGGTACCTATACGACTAAGGATTTGTACAGACTAGATTTTTTATGATAGCAAGTGACAGTCCCATATCATTCTACATAAGTTTTGTTTATAGTGCCCCTCCCTATCAACCTCTTTGTTATGCGGGAAGGGCACTATGACCTGTGCGCGCAGAGGAACCTTATAAGTTCGGGTACTGACCCCAGATCAGCCAGTGTACAGGGTTGTCACAGACCTCTGCCACTTGACTTCATCCGGTTCTTCGAGAGGCTAGTGCCTCAGGTGAGCCGCCCGGGTGCACGTACAGTACCCTCCCTATTTTCCAGATGGGCACCAGAACTGTAGGCACGCTCACTTCCCGTTGCGCATTGCACAACTAGCGGTTGCCACCGCTAAGCCTGAGTCCACTACCAAATCTCCTCATTGGTGGCGGAACTGTAAGGTATGCTCACTTCCCAAGTTCCCAATAACCTAAGCGGCTGGAGGGACCGGAGGATATCTAGCTTATCCTCCACTAGCTCTTCCGACTAGTGCCGGAGATGCCAGTTGCAGCAACCACAAACCCCAGCGAGTCCTTCCATCTCCGGAAAACCCTATCTCTCGGGTCAGTAGATAGGGAAACCAAGTTACAGTTGCAGTGCCACCTAGAGCTTTAAATCGCAATGATCTGAGGGGTACTCCCACTACGCCGATCACCCAGAGACATAAGTTGACAAGCCCCATGTGTCTGTAATTTCACCAACACCCTTACCCTTCAAAACCGGAACGATGTAATGCTCACATTAGCGCTTGACGGCAGTAATAGGTAAGGTGGCAGTACTTCCTTGGAACTTTTTAGCTCTACTGCTACTAAATGATACGACTAGTGGTGAAATCTCTATGATTAAAACATTGACTTATGGTATAAAAATAGAAAAAGCAGCGTAAACAGCTAAACAGCCAAGAGCACAGGGCCAAAATAGTATTTCGAACTCCTAACGATCGATAACCTTCTTGAACTGTACAAAAGCTCTGAAAACGTCTCACGTTTTTTACCAAATCTCCTGAAAAATTAAGAATATTATTTAATTTTATATCATTTCGTAAGAAGCACCATCGAAGACTTTTGTAGTGGAATCCAAGAAAGAAATTACTCTCAGTCTTGGCTGTATGTGTATATTAGTGCTTTCGCCTTTTCCAATGGAGAAAACAGCACCAAAAAAATATACATACACTCACGAGCAACAAAACAAACATCTAACAGATTAGGGTTCTCCTGCAAGTTACAGTCAACCGTGACCATGGGACCTGTAAAGGGCCCGAGACGTCAATTTGTTTGAAAAAACAATTGTACGCGATTTAAATCCGGAAAAATAGTTCAGTTCATTTCCTAAGTATCAGATAACTTGATCATAATGCATCATGAAATTGAAATACGTTGTAAAAATCACGATATTGCAATAAATACCTATACTAGGCAAAGTAGACGCAATACTCAGATCTAACATATACAAAATGTAATTATAACACGTCTCAGAATCTAAAAACTTAATTTTAAAACTATATGAGACACGTCTTTCGTTGTAACATCGAAAATCATCAATAAACCGTATACACAAAGGCACACTTAGCGGAACAAAAAAGTGTGAATATAATATAATGACGTTTATATTTAAATAAACAAAAATTAGATATAAAGTAGCAATTTAATTTAATATCTTTTAACATCGACTTACAGTCTTACTCAACCTTCATAGAAAAATAAAATGGACATTAAACATCGTACCTTTTTTACATTTAATGGCAAAGCAGAAACAGCTGCAAATTTCAAGAGTGTAACAGTTACAATCTTGATCATTGATTAAATCAAACTTTAAATAATATAAACTTTGAAATTTACAAGAACGCAAAATCAACCTCGAACTCACAAAACAACACTAAACCTGTAATAAGTAGGAAATTAAAACAAATTAATGTAACAAATCACAGTCGACTACTTTTATTTTCAAATAAGTCCTTAAAATAAAATAACAAAATAACCTACCAGACTTTTGACAAAACACTGCGTTATTTTAGAGATTTTACATATATCAAATATAATTAATAACCTAGTGTTCGTATGAAGTAACACTTCCCCAGTCCAATATTAACCGCGTGCCACTCAGGATACGCGTGTAGCTGAGTCACCACTCAAAGACGCATCTCAAATAGGGTATTAACCTCAAAATAGTGTTCCTTCTAACAACTCACAGAAACATACCAAAAGTGAATTGAGAATTTCATTTTCGATAACTCAACTAACACTAGAATTACCACTGGTTAAATTCAGTGGTATGAGGGGGATGATTGGTCCCTTTTTTAGCGAAACGTTTACCTAGGTACTTATAAGGTTGCATAGCGTCATCGCGGCTGTAACGTTACAAAGAACAAGTGCTGTTTATTTCAAACTGCTGTTTTTTATTCCGTGTTCACATATCCCATAAATTGTTTTTTTTATAACTCGGTACTAGTCAAATCTCATAATCTGTTTTATTATATTAGATACAATTACAATGATAGGAAACTTGGCTGTTACCATCTC